TCACATGGTCATCTCAATAGATGTAGAGAAGGCCTTTGAAAAAATTCAACATGCATTTATGTTCAAAGTCCTACAGAAAATTGGACTGAAGGGGACATACCTCAACATAATTAAAGCCATATATAACAAACCCACAGCCAACATCACTGTAAATGGAGAAAAACTGGAAGCATTCCCATTGAAATCAGGAACCAGACAAGGCTGTCCACTATCTCCATTTCTCTTTAACATAGTACTTGAAACTCTTGCAAGAGCAATAAGACAAGAGAAGGAAATTAAAGGAGTAATAATTGGAAAAGAAGAGATCAAATTATCCCTTTTTGCAGATGATATATCTAAGAGACGTGAAAAACTCCACCCGAAAACTCCTAGAAATTATGAACATGTTCAGTAAAGTGGCAGATTACAAAATTAACCTATAAAAGTCTGTAGCCTTGGTATATACCAATAACAAGCAATCAGAGAAAGAGCACATGGAAACACTCCTCTTCACAATAGCTGCAAAAAAAATAAAATATCTCGGAATAAACCTGACCAAAGACATTAAAGAGCTTTACAATGCAAATCTTGAATCTTTAAAGAAAGAGACTGAGGAAGACATCAGAAGATGGAAGTCCCTCCCATGCTCATGGATTAGAAGAATTAATATTATGAAAATGACCATCCTACTAAAAGCCATTTATAGATTCAATGCAATGTCAATCAAAATCCCCATGACACTTTTCACAGAATTGGAAAAAAACATCCTAAGATTCATATGGAAGCACAAGAGACCCCGGATAGCCAAAGTAAACCTGAGCATTACAAGCAATGCCGGGGGATTACTACGCCAGATTTTAAGCTGTATTACAGAGCTATAGTCATAAAAACAACATGGTACTGGCACAAAAAAAAAAGACCCACAGATCAATGGAACAAAATTGAAGACCCAAATATGAGTAAATGCAACTTAGGCCACCTGATCTATGACAAAGGAGCCAAGAATATTCACCGGAGGAAAGACAACATGTTCAGCAAATGGTGCTGGCAAAACTGGATCTCCACTTGTAGAAAAATGAAACTAAACCCCTATCTTTCACCCTGCACAAAAGTCAATTCCAAATGGACCAAAGACCTCAATATAAAGCCTGAAACTCTGAAACTGTTAGAAGAAAACATTGGGAAAAACCTACAAGATATAGGTGCAGGAAAGGATTTTCTAAACCAGACATCAATTGCTCAGGAAACAAGGGCAAGAATTAAAAAGTGGGACCTCATTAAACTAAAAACCTTCCATACATCAAAGGAGGCAAACAGGGAAGTGAACAAAAAACCCACAGAATGGGAGAAAATATTCACCAGGGACACATCTGACAGAGCTTTAAAATCCAGAATATATAACGGAGTCAAAAAACAGAGAATCAAGACAAGAAGTAACCCAATTAAAATATGGGCTAAGGAGCTTAACAGAGAGTTCTCAAAGAAGAAGTAAAGATGGCTAAGAAGCATCTTAAAAGATGTTCAACATCACTAATAATTAGGGATATGCAAATGAAAACAACTTTAAGATCTCATCTTACCCCAGTCAGACTGGCTAAGATCAAGAGAACAAATGATACCAAATGTTGGAGAGTTTGTGGGGAAAGGGGAACACTCATCCATAGCTGGTGGGGCTGCAAAATTGTTCAATCCCTATGGAAAGCCATGTGGAGAACTCTTAAAAAACTACAAATGAATCTACCATTTGACCCAATTATACCACTCCTTCCCAAAGAACGGATCCTATTGCAGAGACACTTGTGCATCCATGTTTGTTGCTGCTCTTTTCACAATAGCTAAGAGATGGAAGCAACCTAAGTGTCCCTCAACTGACAAGTGGATAATGAAAATGTGGTTCATTTATATGATGGAGTTTTACTCAGCAGTAAAGAAAGATGAAATCATGAAATTTGCAGGTAAATGGATGGAACTAAAAACTGTTATACTAAGTGAAGTAACACAGACGCAACAAAAAAAATCGACATATGTTCTCCCTCATATTTGGATCCTAGAACCAAACCTGAAAGAGAAGAACAGTAGGAAACAGGCCTTAATAAGGGAAATATGGATAAAAATTGGGTTAGTTTAAGGGAGGGGGGAGGGAAGGGTATACAAGGAACCTAGGGGATAAAGGCAAAGAAGGAGCTCAAGAGAGGTAGGACCGTAGGAGAAGGGTATTATTAACAGAAAGGGGGGAAATGGGGGCACCTTAAGTGGGAAAACCATGACGGATGGGTGAGACAATGCGAGAGATAAATAATGTCTAGCTAGTTTTGAAAACCAGAGGGAACGATATTACTCCTACAAACTACCAACAAATTATACATAGCAGATCAAGAAATATGTCTAGGTAAGGTTTATCTGAGAACAATTGGTCTTTGCCCAAGATATATCTACATGACACACAGTAATTAAAAGTACCAGACTGGTGGTACTAATCTTCTTGAATATTTAACAGACATACTTTGAGGCCTATAATAATTTGGTCAGAGCGACATAAAGGACAGTTTTTGCTCCTTGCCCTCCTAGGTCAACTAGTTCCAGGGGACTATGAGCATCTCTCAAAATGCCCTATAATGGTGGTGGGTCACCTGTCCTCTTGATCAAGGAGGCCAAGGAGACCCCACCAGATGGACTTGAACCAGTGTCCAGTCTAAACAGAAGAGGGTCAACTCAGAGGAATCATTTCCTCCATGCTTCTAAGCGAAGCCAACCATGGTTGAGCAGGACCTTTGACTCATCTTCACATAGGTGGAACTGGTAAAAGAAAGGAGCCCAAGTCCATGTGACCCCTGAGGAAGAGATCCTCAAACGACCTTAAGAGTAAAAATAAATTCGTTTATCTGGACCAACTGTATGTCCTTAAACACCTAAAAGGAAAGTATAACCAAAGATTAAATGGGCCAATATAATTTTTCAAGAGTCCATATGCATAGTTAAAGGCTACATAACAAGCAACCACGCCAGATAGGAGATACCTTCTTTTGAGTTGTTGGCCAAGGTGGCGAAAGGGACTCTCAGATAGTAACCCAGCATAGAACTGGGAAAAAGAACAGCAGACCCCAATCTCATCTAAAGGAATATTGACAACTGATTTCTGCTAGATGAGGAACAGCTTACCCTCCGAAATCAAAGACCTCTAGATAGGCTGACTAGATTCACCAGAAGGGCAAGTAGTGGGTAATGGCTGGGGGTGCCAACAACACAGCCGACAGCAACAGGGATATCAGAGTATAAGGGCTCTAGTGGGGGGAGGGAGACTATGGGAGGGTGCTACCTGGGAAGTGGGTGTATATTTGAATAAGATGGTTTGGGATGTTCTGTGTGATACACACACACACACACACAAACAAAAAATCAACAAAGTTTTAAAAAGGTATTATATTTGAGGAGGAAGCATGGAAATTTATGTCATGTTAATTAGTAGCGGTGATAAACATTACCAATGAAATCTACCTGATGACATTATAGACATACACAGGCGCCAAGGATCCAAGTGCAACCGATTATGACTAGTAATAATCAGATACATACAGATTAGAGATGCATGCGCCAACATCTCAGTGTTAGTAGCAAAAACAATGAGATTTTCTGCAAGGAACAATATATTCTAAAATGAAATGGCGATCTTTCTTAAAGGTTAAAAACTCATTCAATTTTATGTCTACAGGGCTATACTGAGTTCAATGTTGTATAACTGTATTAACTCAATTGTGAACCTAGAAACTTGCAGCCACTTGTGAAAGAGATGTACTCTTGCTCTGGAGTGTGTTACTGAATATGTTAAAGCTGTAATGAAATGCTTCTTCTAATCATGTAGTTATTAAAATTTTTTTTAAATGATTAAAAAATAATTCTTCAGAGCATAAAAATTTGCTCCTTAATAATTAGATGTGAAAAACATTACCATTGAAATCTACTTGACGACTTTATATCCATGCTTTGATACCAAGGAGATCAGAAAGTAACCGACTGTGACCAGTAATAATCAGATATAGAGATTAGAAACACATGTGCATCATAGTGTCAATTGTATTAAAAATGAATTT